ACTTGTAGAATGTGTGAGACCTCTCGAGGTTATGTTTGTTGGATTAGGTGTCTAAGCCCATAACTATAATTGGTGTGTACTTGACCCTATAGTAGTGTGGTCGATTTCAGGTTGCCTTCACCGGAACAATTTGTTAGATAGATATTTGAGTAAGAGGTTATTTATGATTTATTCATATACTATAAGTATAATATATTAATTAAGGAATCATATTATTAATTAGTATTGATCAAGAATTAATTTAGAATTAATTTAGTGATCAACAGAGACTGATTAAAATTGATACGTATGGATGGGGATAATGATTCATTGATTTGTGATGGGTTAAGCTTATGGATAGTCTATGAATTTTTAGTCCAAATCAAATGCATGGATCATAAACTTATATGTGTAAATTAGGGTTTCACGTGAGTCTTGGTTTTCTACACATATAAATATGTTATCCTAATCCCTAAAATCGGACCACTACTTCCATTCTACTTCCATTCCGAGAAGAGAAGTCGATTTTGAGTCTCCTTATCCTCTCTTATATCCATTTAGGTTTTTATTGGTGTTTGTGACTTGTTTGAGACACAACACTTAGGGTGCTAAGTTCTCACAAGGCTAAAGACTTACTAGCTACATCAAGAGGTAACCCTCTAACCAATTATATGATTCATATGTTCAATTTTGTATGCTAGTTTAGGATCCATGCTTTGGATATCAATGTTACATTTATAACTAGAGAAAACTTAGATCCAAAGCATTAGGTTTGTATGTGCACCATAAGAATGTTAGAGTACATAAAACCCAATAGTGGTATCAGAGACTAGGGTGTTTTCTATTATATTGATGCAAATGTGTGATTTTCAAAGTTGGAAAAATGTATTTTCCGGCCACTGTCTGATGAACTCGTCGAGTCCATATATGGCTCGATGAGTTGCATGAGTTTTTCCATGAACTCGACGAGTCCAAAGCCTGGTTTGACGAGTTCGCGCATCTAGTGGAAGGATTTTACGAGTTTTTGGCCTGTTATGGAATTCAAAAGTTTTGACAAGTAACAAAACTTTCCCTCAAGTTTTGCAACTTGAAGAGTCTCATTTATGAAAATTTAAATCCAACCCGTAGATTTTTAAATGTTTATAATTTAACCCTATGCTATTATAATATTAAAGTTTAATACTTATATATATATATATATATATATATATATATATATATATATATGTATGTATATGTATATGTATAAGACAAGTCAGTCTTACCATTAGTAGGCCTCATTCACAAAATCGGTCTATAAGGGGTTTATAAGGTTACTACGTATAAAATTGTTGTTTAATGGGTGTCCACTCTCACCCACCGCTTCCTTGACTGGTGTAAGGTCATTAGACGAATGGGTAGGATAGGACATTAATTCTTATTAATAAGTATAATGATAATTATTAAAGTAACTAAACTTTTATAAATTCCCAATCTTAGTTACTTTAGGAAAAACGTGAAAATGGTCCTATTCCAAGAAATTGCACTTTGCACCTTGTTGAGTCGTTAGCGGAGTGTGTGTGGTTAACTGGCACACTAATTTGGGACTAGCAATAAGTAACAAAAGGTAGTTTAATGTTAACCATGGATCAATGGAGCGTGTGTGGTCAAACGGCACATTAATTAGGTGATTTGTAACATTAAGTGTACCAAGCACATTTGCATGGTTATTCACACATCTTTTGTGACCCTCGGTATCCCAGTCACAAACTTGAAGGCCACAATCAAGATTTAAATATGCCATTGAAAAGTTTAATTAATCTCAAAAGAATCTAGGAATTTCAATTCATTTAAAACTTAATAATCTATTTCGTTTTTCATGGTAGTAAATCGTCAATTACCTACCTTCAAATATTTTGCAATTGGATTATGGCATCCCTCTTCCTAATTGTAAAATATTGTGTTGGGTCCTAACCTTAATATTTCATTTTAGGTGTTATATTATGGATCCTTATCTAATATAAACTTTGTCCTTCTTTTTCAAATGTTTACTTTAAACACAGCTTCAAACTCAACTGCTTCTGGCTCTTTCTCCCTCATGAATCTATGTAAGAGCGTCATATTTATATGTTCGAACTTCAATGATTGGATTTGAAACATCCGCATGGCCATTCACTATGAGGACAAAGAATATGTCCTAGATAAAGAGCTTAAGGAAATTGATGAATCTACCGTTACTCCCGAACATATTGTTAAATATAAGGCCCATGCGAGGGATGCGACCAAAGTGTTATTTATTATGATATGTACCATGACTGTTGAGCTTCAGAAGTCCTATGAGGTACCATCAAAGTGCTTGGCAGGAAAGGTATGAAATCATAGCCTCCATGATTACTACCAAAATGAATGATGGAGAGTCTATCACAACCCACTTGCAGAATATGCAAATGTTTTTGGCCCGCCTGTTGAAGTTGAATGTCAAATTCGATGAAGAGTTGGCCATAAATATTATTCTACACTCTTTGCCTCCTTGTTATGATCAGTTTCGTATGACCTATCATATGAATAAGGAGGAGGTCACTCTAAGCAACCTTCAAGGCCTTTTAAGGACTGCTAAAAGTAATCTTAAAGGAAAATTTATTATTTCTACTCCTACTACTACTGCCCTTTTCTTGGTAATTGGACATGGGAAGGGAAAGAAGAGGAACTCTTCCTCAAAGAGCCACAAGGGAAATTCCCATGTTGGATTTTCTTCTAGTGGGTCCAAAGGTGGTCCTGCTACACCCTCCTCAAACCCAAAGGAATCAGAGTGTTTCCATTTTCATAAAAAATGGCACTGGAAGCGAAGTTGCCCCAAATACTTGCAGAACATAAAGGATACAAAGATCAAACACTCCTTCTCATGTATTTACATTATTTTTCCTAATAACTCATCACATGCTAATTCTTGGGTCCTTGATACAGTATGTGGTTTTCACATTTGTTCTAATTTATAAAGACTAAAAAGAAGTGGGGGATGTGGAGTACGGGAAGATGAACTTCATCATGGGGAATAGGAAAAGGTCTCCTGTCACAAAGATTGGAGTTTATACTTTATTGCTTAGTAGTGTGTTAAATTTAGAACTGAATAGTTGTTGCTACTCGTCTCATATGGTGAGAAATATTATTTCATTTCATAGTTTGTATAAACAAGGTTTTACGTTTTCTTTTAATAATGAAATTACTAGTATCAATGCTTATTATAATGGTATATTGTATTTTGAAGCATTACCTTGTAATGGTATATATGCAACTGTGATGGTTGTATATAACTTAGGAAATAATGTGTTGCAAATCAATGCGTCCAATAGTTTGGATAAAGCATGCTTATGGCATTGTCATCCTGGACATGTTAACAAGAAACGCATAGCCCAACTCCAAAAGGATGGAGTCTTCGAGTCATTTGAATTAAAGTTGGATGATACTTATGAATCTTGTTTGCTTGGAAAGATGACCAAGTCACCATTCATCGATTCATGTGAAATGGGTGAGGGTTTGTTGGACCTCATACACACAGATGTGTGTGGACCCTTCAGATCTGCCACAAGGGATGTGAACTGCTTCTATGTGACTTTTACTGATGTTATAGTAGATATGGGTATGTCTAGTTAATCAAGCATAAGTCGGAAACCTTTGAAAAGTTCAAAGAGTTTAAACAAGAAGTGGAGAATCAATTGGGCAGGAAGATAAAGATGCTCTAATCCGATCGGGGAGGAGAGTATCTTAGAATTGAGTTCCATGACTATCTTAAGCAATGTGGAATTGTTTCACAATTGATGCCACCTAGGACACCAAAGCTTAATGGTGTGGCTAAGAGGCACAACCGAACCTTGTTGAACATGGTTCATTCTATGATGAGTCGAGCTTTGTTACCTATCTCATTCTGAGGGTATGCTTTAGAGATCGCTGCTCATATCCTTAATATTTTCCCAACTAAAAAGATTTCCAAAACACCTCACGAGATGTGGACAGGGAAGGTTGCCTCGTTAGCACACCTCAAGGTTTGGGGTTGTGATACTTTTGTGAGAAAGGAAACTTACGACAAGCTTGAACCGCGAAGTGAGCGATGTATTATTATCGGCTACCCATAGAAATCCTTTAGATATCTCTTCTATAGACAGCGGTCACAATGTTCTCTTCGTTGCAAGGATATGAGTCTTTTAAGAGAGAGAACTCATATGCCAAGAGGACAGTGGGAGGCAAATTGACCTTGAAGAGCTTCAAGAGTTAAGCGATGAAGGAACCTTAGACACTCGCGCTCAACCCGAGAAGAAAACTCTTGTTGAACCGATTGACGAATGCTTACCTCTAAGACGTTCCAGTAGAGTTAGACAGACACCTGAATTTTATGGTTTCCATATAACTTCTGAAGATGATACATTTTAGTACACTAGTAAACTTGGATGAACCTAACAACTACAAGGAAGCCATGGCTGGCCCTGAGTCTGATAATTGATTTCTTTTTTTTTTTTTGGAAGAGAAGAGTCTAATAATTTATTTGATAGCAAAATAGTTATCAAATTCATTTCCGTAACCAAATTCCTTAGCAAAATAGCTACGGAATATCATTATGTAGCAAAATAGCTACGAAATTTAATTTTATGGTAATTTTCATAGCAAAATAGCTAATGTATTTTGGTTTTGTAGCAAATTCGGTAGCATACTAACTACGGAAAATTAATTTTCATAATTAATTTTAAATTTGCTACGGAATTTTATTTCGTAGAAAATTTTGTAACAAAAACTCTACGGAAAGCCATTTCGTAGCAAAATAACTACGGAGTTAGATTCCGTAGCACTTTTCTGTAGCTATTCAGAATTTTTCTTGTAGTGCTTGTTTCTAGTAACTAGTAAGTGCCGTAGTTTGGAAATGAGAAAGGAAATTTTAAAGATATAAAACATGTGTGAACAATTGAAATGTGAAAGCATAGAATTTAAAAGCATCTAGTTTCACAAACTTAATAAATTTAATAATTTCATGTCATATATAGTTATATAATAACATGGCTTGGGGTAAGCACATCCACTAAGTACTACTTATTATATATTAATGTGTAGGTGTTACTTCATTTCCAAAATCTTCTTATAATATTTTCAACTAAAAGAATATAATCTTTATATTAATATTTTTTTTTTGAGGTCGTAAAAAAGCATAAAAAGAAAAAGTGAAGAAAAAGTTTAATATATATCTTTATATTATGGTAATAAAAAAAACAATTACAACTAAACTCAAACACATGAGTCATTCCAAAACAGTTGAAAACGTATCGTAAAATACCCGAATGTAAACTTTCACGGCTGCTAAATGGACCATTAATGATATTAAAAAATAAAAAGATAAAAAAAAACTATATGTTTTTAGGGGTCTAATGAACTTATAATATTTGGTGTTGCTGTCAAATAAAAAACAGAGCAAGGATCGCCCCTCTTCACAAATTATATGTGGGTCCTGAACATGGCTATAAATAACACACATCCTTAATTTGAGAATTACATACGGACACAATTGGTTCTTTGTTTTCTGACATAAAAAGGGTTTATCTTAAAAGCTTGTCCAAGAAATATTCGATTAACTATTTAGTGTCAGACATGGAATCAGTCCAGAAAGAGAATGTTTTGGTAGAGAAAGTGTGTGAGATTTATCACAAAATTTCAAAGCTTGAGAATCTGAAACCCTCGAAAGATGTTGACAGCCTATTCACTGAGCTCGTCCGCACATGCATCCCACCCTCTTCTATCAACATAAACAGTCTCCCGCCAATATTCAAGAAATAAGGTCAAAGCTCATAAGACTTTGTGGTGAGCTGAAGGCCATCTTGAAGCCCACTTCTCCACCATTTTAGGCTCTTTCCCAAATCCACTTCACCATCTGAATCAATTCCCTTACTACTCCAATTACCTGAAGCTTAGCCGTCTTGAGTTTCACATTCTCACTGAACACTATTCTGCATTTGGACAAGCCCCTAAGCGTCTTGCCTTTGTGGGGTCCGGCCCCTTGCCTCTCACATCTATTGTATTAGCCTCTTATCATCTCAAGGACACCATTTTTCACAACTATGACATCGACTCTTCCGCAAATTCCATGGCCTCTCATCTTGTTTCCTCTGATTCTGATTTGTCCCAAAGAATGGTATTCCACACTGCCAATATAATGGATGTGACAGATGAGTTGAAGGGATATGATGTCGTTTTCTTGGCTGCACTTGTAGGGATGGATATTGATGAGAAGGTGAAGGTGATCGATCATTTGGCAAAGTACATGGCCCCAGGTGCTTTGCTCATGCTGAGGAGTGCTCATGGTGCCCGTGTCTTTCTCTATCCAGTGGTAGAACCACAACAACTTCAAGGGTTCCAACTTCTCTCCGTTTTTCATCCAGACGATGACGTCATCAATTCCGTCGTGATTTCACGTAAGATTGCGGATCCTGTTAACAATGATCATGATGATGATGGTCATCATCATCATCACCATGAGTTGGGGATCCAGTCTTTCATGCCATTGAGTTGCAAGTATTGTGAGTTCCAAGCTTTCAACAATCCTCTTGGCCAGATGAAAATGATTGATAATTAGATTTCATTTAAACTTACTTTAAATCGGATTGGTATTCATATAAACTTATCGTATGTGCTTGCTTGAAAGTGTGAGAACGGATTTGATTGTCTCGGTTTTCTCTTATCTTACTGAAATTACCGGAAATAAAGAACCTATATTATGTTTTACATCATGGGCCTATTTACAAACTGTTGATACAAAAACTCATTTACTTTTTCGCTAAATTATAGTTCCTCCTCTAATATCCTCTGTAACTTAAGAAATAAGGCCTTACACTACCATGGAAATCAAAGAAATATTTAAACTCTTGGAACGTGTCAGCTGGCATGAGACACTACAAGAAAATTTCGATTTAACTACCAAAAAATTCCGTAACAAAATGATGTAATTCCGTAGTTAAACCTAAATAACTACAGAAGTTGCTGCAAAATTTGCCGATGAGATTCCATAGTAAGATTTTTCTTGTAGCAAAATGTTTAACTACGAAATTATTGTTCCGTAGCAATTTTGCTATGGCCGTTGCTCCAACGTCTATCCGTAGCATTTCAACTACAACACACTTCCATCACAATTCCGTAAACAATGAATTATGTAGCAAATTTCATATCCATTTTGTTCCGTAACAAATTCCATAGCCATTTGGTCCATAGCAAATTTTGTTGCTAATTATTCCGTAGCAAATTTCGTAGCCATTTGGTCTATAGCAAATTCCATAGTCATTTGGTCCATAGCAAATTTCGTAGCTAATTGTTCCGTAGCAAATTCCGTAGCATTTTGTCCATAGCAAATTCCGTAACTAATTGTTCCGTAGCAAATTTTGTAGCCATTCGTTCCGTACCAAATTCCGTAGCAAATTCCGTAACAACTTTTTTGTAGTCAATTCCATAACAATCGTTTCATACTATTTTTTTCTATAAAATTCGGTTTTTTAATTTGACTTATTATATCCATTTACAAAAATACAATTAATATAAAACCAAAAATAACGAAGTATTTCTATAGAAACTAAAAGAAATATCAAATACATCAAAAAATACATATTTCAATATCAAAAGTTGCTACAAATTTAACATAAAACATTATTCGATACATAATATTCTATCATTGATTAATAAAAGTTTTGACATGTTCACTCAATGTGTTAATGACATTCATTGCTTGTGCAAGTGGTTGTTCAAACTTTGCTTGAACATCCACATTTTTCTGCTGAAACTCCACATTCTTTTTCTAAGCATTCTCATATTTTTGCTGAACATCCTCATATTTTTGTTGAATATCCTCATATTGTCCGCGTTGTGTCTCAACTAACTTCTTCAAATTCTCAATCTCGACTTTTGTCTTGGCATTATTATCCTCGTATTGTTCGTGATGCATTTCAGAAGATCCTTTACTAGAATGAATGCACTTTCCATATGAGCCAAATCCATATAATCTCTTTTTTCGATCATGTCCCCCAACAATATCATAAAAGAGTTTGTCCTTATCAATTTCCTCGCCTATTGCTTCCAACGATCACATCGTTCCATAAAATCATCCTATAATTTTATAATTGTGTTGAGATAAAACTTATACAATAAAAAATTCAAAATAAAATTTACATGAAATTATTAAAAATAAAACTTACATGAATTTTTTTAGCTTTGTCAACTAAAAAAGTCACTCCATCATGATTCTTAGTGTGTGTATACAAGAATAGTTCATGGTGTGTCAGATCATGTCCCCAAAGCTTCTTCTACATATATACAAAAAAAAAAATCAATATTAAAGTAGATTGTTATTTTTACATTTAGGCTTAGATATTTAAAAATAAAAAAATAGCAACTTACTTTTAGGCTAAACCCATCTAAAAATCAAAATGGAACTAGATTGCTATGACACAAAAGTAAATAAAATTACATTGCTATTTTATGTATTTAAGCTTAGTCCTTTTAAAAATAAAAATGGAACTAGAATGCTATAATATAAAACTAAAAAAAAGTAGATTGCTATTTTATGCATTTAGGCTTAGTCCTTATAAAAATCAACATAGAACTAAATAATGGTATTTTTGAATGGAAGTAGATTGCTATAATATAAAATTAAATTAGTACTTACTAGATCAGAAGCAATCTTGGAATGAGAAGCCAATCCAAAGGTATGCGTAGAAAGGGCTTGTCCATCAGCTACACCTCTACGCCTATTTTTTTGTTTTGTTCTGATTTCTTCTTGAACTCTTCAATATTCCATCTTGTAGTCCAGGATGTCCACACTTCTGATGTTATATTAACAAGCTTTTTTTAGAGTCGATTTTTTCCATTTTGAGCTTATATTGTAGATATATTGTCTATATCTTTCCTTTGCCTTATTTTCCCAACAAGCTTGGACTAGCGGAGTTTTTGCTTCATCCCAATGGCACTTTTTCTACAATATAAAATATATAGATGAGTTTTTAGTTAATGAGTACCTAATAATTGCATAAACGAGATACATGCATGAAACTCATCCCAATAAAGGAGTCTTGTCTCGTCACTTAAAGTTGCCTAGCTATACCCATTTAAATCAGCTCTTTCGCCAAAGGATTCATAGATAATGGAAGAACATGGGCCCGAAGGAAATAACCTACAAACAAAAAAATTAATAGCATTGTAAACATCATGAAGTTCAGTGTTGATAAAAATGTAATTATTTTAACTTACTCCTTATCTCGCACTCCAATATATTGACGTCCATCCAGTCTAGTAGATCCAAGTAAATACCCTTGATGTTGAATGCTAATATTTTCCTCAACCAATTCACTACCATTTGTTGTGGATCTAGGTATAGATGATGTAGATGCAGGTGTAGATGATTGGATAGATGTAGATACAGATGATTGGGTAGATGATGTAGGTAAGGATGATTGGGTGGATGATTCATGAGTTAATGATGTGGCACCCATAGTACCAACATGTGAAACAAATGCTGGGGCAAATACAGTACCAACAGATGATGATGTGGTACGCGATGATGATGATATATTGCCAACAGATTTTGCAACATCGGTACGTTTGTTTATGAAACGTACATTTGTATGTTGCTTTCGTTTCCATGTTTCTCTTAATAAGAATTGTGACATCTTTCCTGAAATTTTAAAAACTTAGGAAGTTATAAATCTTTAGGTTTACAAATATTATTGAAATATCTTACTGGAAATTTAAGCATACTACTTTTTACTTTAAATTAAGAATATACTTTTGCTTGCTTATTTATTTAAGCATCCTACTTTTAACTTTGAAATTTTTACCTAATTGTAGCAATGTCAACTAAATACAAAAACTAAAAGTATAATGCAAATACTTTAATGAAAGTAGATTTCTATTTTTTGCATTCTAGACTTAGCCCTTTAAAAATGAAAAAAATAACAACTTACTTTTAGGATTAGCCCTTTCAAACTCAAAATGGAACTATTTTCTAAAATACAATGTCATAGTAAATATAAAAGATAAAACACAAAGCTTAAACATGATAGTTTTGTTATCACTTGGATTGTGTTGTATTGGATTGGATTGGAATGAAGTAGAGTGGATTGGAACCTGGAACAAAAAAGAACAAAGAAAAACAAATAAACTTTATCTCAATAAAAAAAAAAGTTAACAAAATATTATTTGGGAAGATGTGAACATGACCACTTGTAGTTTAATACATTTAAAGGGTTATCAAAATTATATTTATGTAGAACAAACAAGCCATCTAACAAAGCGTTATGGAACAAGACACATCTACTCTATTTTCAGAAAATTTTATCAAACCAAAAGGCTTAAGTACTCTTCTCTTTCTTTCTTTATCTAAAAAAAACTTACAGTTTATTCTTCATGACAAGAATCTCATCTCTTACCATTAAGTGCTAACTATTTACAAATTTATTCTCTTTTGTTTCTTTCCTTCATTTTCACCAAAGTGTGTTGTTATTTCCACAAACCAAAACCCAACAATGTCAAAAGGTAAGGATAGGCTAACTGTAGACTATCTAACCCATATTCGCCTTAAAACGAAATCACAATAATACAATTGCAAATTACAAAATTACATATTGAATTTTAAGTTATTGATAACAATTTCTCAATCATATATATAATAATTTAAAGATATAGTACATCACAAAGAGCTTAAAAGAAAACGAAGAGAACAATGCACAATATGGACTTTGAATTGCTTCTGTTTTGGATTTACAGTAAAAATAGAGGCATTTGTTTTTTACTTTGTTGCTGACTTATTTACTACATACTTAAGAATTAAACTCCTCTCCAATACTATAGCCTCAGTAAATATATGATGAAAGTAACTGCCTGATGTCCTCTTAATATCCACATATTTCACACTTGCCACCACCTTTCAACAAAGACGATTTAAATACTAGTTGTCCAAACAACACTCGATGGTAAAAAAGAGAAACACAACATAAGTATGTTTAAGAACTGAATGGCTAAAGGAGAGACTTGAGAAAATGAAAGTAGCAAACTTGACATTGATAGTGTTGGGTTATTAGCATTCTAACACTCTAAGTGTACATGCAACCCTAAATACCTTGGATCTATGTTTTCTATATTATACATGCAAATATGAACTTTCCAAGGTAGTCATCCTAACTAGCATAATAATATGATTCATATGAATATATATATCAAGTTAGAATTACATACCTCTTTGATGTAGAAACTCTTCATTAAGCTTGAGTGCCTAGTGCCCCAAGTGTGACACCTCAAATGGTTCACACAACACCAAAAACACTTGGAATAACTTGAGAGAAACTTGAACACTCCTTGACATCGTCTAGCCCTCACACTCACACATAGTGCACGATTTCTTGAGCCATGGGATTATTTTATATGGTGGCTATTAGGGTTACACCATGTAACTCATGACTTTACCCATTCCTTATGCTCCATGGATTTTAACCTCCATGGAGTATCCATGGGTCACCCCATGGACTTAGTCCAACATAAGGAATATTGGATCACAAGCCCACATATATAAGAATGAATGATTTACACAATCAACCCATATATATATTTAATTAGTCTTCTTTTGATCACTTAATTAATTCCAAATTAATTCTTGATCAATACTAATTAAATAACCTTATTAATATATTAGAACTTATAATGTATTAACAAACCTTAAGTGTTATTTCTCTCATTTTAGTCTATCCAAATGCATGATGCCATGCAACCCAAATGGACCATGCTGGGTCGGGTCAAGTCTTACCAATTATAGTTATGGACTTAGACATTAATCCAACAGTCTCCCACTTGGATAAGTCTAAAACTATTATAGCGTATGACTTCAAGAACCGACTGGCAATCGTAGCTCTCAAAAGCTTCTGTCGAACTCTGACCTTGTAGATGAACTCTGACCTTTGTCAATGACTTGTCCATTAGATAAGGGATCATATATTCCTCCATTCTAGATATCATATGGACTGAGACATGGATTATAATCATTCTCTCTATCCATTTGTTGTTTCCCGATTTCTGATTTATGACGACTGACTAATTAAACAAATCAAATCAGTCCTGGCCCGGCCGAGCACTTACATTTGTCATCACCAAATCATCGAGGGGCCCACAGATATCGCTTTTATCCCGAAGGTAAAAGGAATGGATAAACTTCGACTCATATGGCTTGTTCTACTACTTGTTGAATCATACACAAAGGCACGTTTTATAACATCGAGTTACCGAATACGTTTTCGTGCAATCAATGTACAACCAACTCATAGTAACAACTCATATCTCTAGGTTTGAAGAATATAAGATATTATCGTCTCATGATCACTCGTGATAAAATCCATGAAGTGATTCCAATGAGCGCGGGTTAAATCCAATACTAAGAACTTATGAGCACTCATGAGTGTTGTAGCCCTTTGTCTAACATCTTAGACCTCTACAAGCCAACCCATGACAATCTTAATTCATATCTACTTCCAACATATGACCGACTGTGGATGGTTTGAATAACTTAGTCATTCCGGAAGAATAACCTAGTTTATTCTGAAAGTCAAAACATGCAAAATGAAACACAAGAATAATTGAATCTAATATGGTATCAAAACCTATAAACATAAATAAAACACCTTTTATTTATCACCATATGATTACACATTATTCATTGTATACTGTTTCAACTATCAACTTTATTCTTGAAATAAAACACTAGTTGTCCCATGCTCCGAGCATGTACACTATGTTTTCTAAACACTAGTCATGCCACGCACCAAGTATGCATACTATGTTTGTCTATGTTCTTTACTTTGTGAATTAGATCAATTGAACATAAATCCAATGATCCTCTTTTCACAGGCCCAAATCCTTACTGCAAATGCAAGAATTCCAAATTCATGTCATTTACTAAAATCTGTTAGATTCTAAACTTATATGCATTGATCCTCTTGTAATGATTATGTACAAAGTCACAAAGACTTGACAACAAACATTACAGAGCATTCTAAAGGAGATCACATCCTTGGAAACATCCTTCTTGCATTAAGTTTCCTAATCTTACACAGATTGAATAATTTCTAACTTTGAAACATTTCCAGATTCCATTTTGACTATCACTTCTGAACAAGAGTTGCCTCCTTACAGATTATTATCAATATGCCCCTTCCAGAATTATCACTATACTTCCAACTATCCTTGAGTAACCAATCTTTGGTAAACATTAGATTTTCCTCGACAATTGTTTAATCTTTTTAGTCATATCCAATTCTAGATATTTTCCCTTCTTAATGTCCCAGGCATTTGGAAAATTCTAGAAAGGATGAATATAGCACATGTAATTAATCCTATATCCGAATCATATGGGAAACGATTCATGATGTCTCACATAAAGACTAATAAACCAGTCTTTTGCTATAATATTTCCATTTCAATTTGCCAAGTTCTCATAATTCAGATTATGAAAAGGGATGTCGTAATTATAATCGAATTTTAGAACGCAAATAATGGACCCATATATAGAATTTTCTTATGTTGAGTCATTCCAACATGAAATTCATATATATATATATATATATATATATATATATATATCCTTGACTAAATACGATTTATATATATATATATATATATATATATATATATATCTTTGACTAAATACGATTTAAACCTCAATCTAAGCTTTTAGATTTGAGATGAAGTATAATTTCCTCTCCCTTAATTATAGCAAAACAACTTTTTCCTAATTGAAACCTTTTGTTTTCTATAATTAACATTGCTAACTTGCAATACTTATCATAATTATCATGCTCCCACTAACATGATGATTATTAGCATAACACTTATGCTCCTACTAGCTTTGACATGTACTCAGAAATCAGCTGGACTTCTAGAAATCAATACATTATTGACTTTCTTACCAAAGTTCAAATTTCTGATACTAGATTGCTTTGATAACACTTTATCAATATCATACATCTTATCTTAGATAGCTCACAGATGTGTCTAAACATATTTAAGAACTATGAAAAGCGATGTCGTAATCATAGTCTCTATTGTTTAGACCTTTACCACTTTTCACAAGTCCATGTTAGTGTGTCGGTTAACCACACATGCTCCACTAACGAATTTGAGAATGCAAATCTCACAATTGCTATCTAGCTAAAATCTACTTAGTGAAAGTGTTTCCTCACCATCATTTTCATGAATCGGAGAGAAACCTTATGACACTTAGATTTAATGGTGTATGTGTTCCTATCCATGTGAATTGTCAAAACCATAGTCACAAGAAAAGGTTATTGACAAATCCAAACTCATATGGACTGAACTCAATCTTAATTTCTTGCCATCTGGCAGCTCAAGGGCCTGCCATTGCTTCTAGGTTGTTCTGCAACCAATTGAGAACTCTAATAACTCATATGCAAATCCAAATTTAATTGGAATGGGCACATAATATGTCAGCACGATGGGTTATAAACCTCAAGTCGTGTGCTAATGAAGAACTTCAGGTTTTATTCTTGATTAGTTCTTGAGACTTTCAAGACCTTAAAGACTCCCATTTTCCTCTTGACATATAAGACTTTCTTGTCAAATATTCAAGAGATAGTGTGGATTCTAATCAAGACAAACACTTCACACA